AGATAATCAGTGTTATTTACTTCAGCTGACAGTGCTCATAATGTTATGGCTGATCGGTGTATAAAGAAAATGATTGGCCAATGTCACTTTCAAATGTGTTTGAAATGAAGTTTTTCCAAACATATCCACCCATTGTACTCTCTCTTACTTCCTTCTTTAATAAGGTTTGATCCATGCCACAGAGAGAAGAAGAGGAACAATTTTTAATGATGTGAAAATGCTACATACAGCACTTTCACATCAATAAATGGCTCCAATGTATTCAAACAAACAACCTGATAGCAGAGAAGATTCGCGCTGTACTGCTTTATGGACCAGAGTGAAATTGATTTATGGCACGAATTCCAGGTTTCCTGCAAAAACAGATGGTTTATACGAGTGATAGGCTGCCCTAATGGAACAAAACATGTATTTTTATAAAGAAGTGGGCACTGACACCACACGACCAGTAACACACACACCAGCACACATTATGATGACGATGTTCAAGAGCATATTAATGTTGTAAATCCTCTTTTACCCGTTCTACCTTTCTGTTTCCTCCATCTTTCTCTTCATCTTCCTCTCTACAGTATGTGGAGCAGAATGACTAATGATCAGTTGCTCTGTCACACACCAGAGACTTTCTTTCCCTGCAGCCATATCCCAAATTAGCACACACGAACACACACACAGGCGAAAATGCACACAGGCAAACAGCCAGATATTCATAGGTTCATGCACACATACACACACACACACACACACACACACACACACACAGACATACACAGACAACCATGACGGCTAGCTCCACCAGAACTCTCTGACCTCTATGACACATGATGTATGCCCTGAGTAGAGAGTCTGTCCTGTAAAAGAAAGGTTAAAGGTCAAAACAGGAGAATTTCCCTTTATAAGAAAGTCTTTCTTTCATTCTCTGGGGCTCTGACACACATATGAAGCTAAATAAAGACACAACCTCTGATCCGTCTTACAAATGCTCTACAGAAGTATCCACTTGGACCTCAAGTATTTCTCCTGCACAGTCCTTGATGGTGTTCTCTGAGCTGCAGCTCTCTCTGCTGGACAGACACAGTCAATACAGGTTTCATTTTACTTATCGATCCCCTGCAGGATAAATTCGTCCAGGTTCCTGCTCAAGGACACTTCAGCAGGGCAGACACTTGCAGTCGTGGCACTGAGGGTGAGAAATCCTGTTGCATTTCTTTCTCTGTTAGACCTTGTGGCTATCACAACTTCCAGTTCTGAGGAAGAGATTAAACCTGCCTCTGATGTTTCATGTTTCACACAACCCCAGATAACCCTCAGTAATAAGACGATCAAACATTTATAATAAGGGCTGCTTTTGATAAAGTTCAGAGGAAACAGATTTTGTGAGATGTGAGGTTTTGTGGTGCAGATCTGCTCTGTTCACAGCTGTTTAAACAGGACAAAAATCAGGCAGACTAAATGTGGTTGCTTCCTGTTTTAGCAGACACAAAGGTATCTGATCTAAGCCCTAAGATAAAACAAAATAAAAATTCTTCTTCCATAAATACGTAAAAGCAGAAATAGCAACAACACATATAAACAGAGGCAGCAGACAAAGATGTAAACAACTGTTTTATTAAGCTCTGACAATGGGACAATGCTCGGCACGAACAGACTGCTTCGTGAAAATCCAGGATCTTAAACCAAAATCATGTAACATATTTACAATAAAACAACATTTCAGTTTGGCACCTACTCTGATAGGTTAAGCAATGGGCATCATCTTTAAATAAATAGCGTTAGGAGTTACACATTGAGAGGGGAAGGGCCACAATTTTATCCAATCCTGATTAACCTTTAGATTTCATACTAATATACAGAGCTAAAGATAATTGTCTGAAACCAGGGAGGTCTGTTTGGGTGTTGAATAGTTATACGTACATATTTTGCATCAAAAGCTGATTAGACCCCAAAAAGGCCCAATTCTTAATTTGGGGCCCACTAACACACTTATACTATTGTTTTTCACAAATATCATCTGCAAAATATCTTATATTACAGTAGATATATACAGTATATACGGTGTAGTGTCTGTACGCAATGTTTTTACACCATCCTGATATTTCACAGTGTTCAGTCACATGAGTGCTCAGACTAAAATAGCCAGCATGACGTGGTTTCTAAAGAAATTCTTTGCTCAGTACAGAGGAAAACAAACATTATCGCAGATTGTGGCTGATTTTTAAAAAGCAAAAAAGGAAGGAAGTCTGAAAGATCTCAGATTAAAAGAGATTTTTTTTAAAATAGGTCAGTGTGTTTGCATGCAGCTCCACGATTAACTCAAATAGAGATTGAATGTCATCCCTCAGCAGTGGTATAACCTTCAAACTCGTTCCATCAGAAGCCAAAGCCTTTCCCTTATGTCTTTCCTCTCTGCTCTAATTCACTCTAATTGCTATCCAAACATTCCTTCTGCCGCTTGTTTTATGTGTTTTCCTGACACTTCTTTCTTGTAATAGTGATTTTGTCAGACCACCGTGGCTCTGCCCTTTCCACTCTGTCTGGTCAGCTGTCTGTAATTTTAGGTGATCTCATTTTGGTGAAGCTTATTCTACTGTTAAACCCTGGATAAAAGCGAGTCAGCTAATGCCAAAAATATGTTCTGAAATGATAAATGATCCATCAACAGTGGAAAAAAGGAGTGTGCATACGGTCTTTTTTATAGTAGGTAATTTATATGGTTTTAAAGTGTTTTAAACGGATGAAAGTTGTTGTAATGGTCAAATTCTGCAGGAGTATTTTTCTCCAGTGCAGCTTAAACTGTTTTTTACACTGACAAATCACAGTGCTGGTTTCAGAATATTTTAACATTAACACTTTTTAATGGTTTAAACAAACAAGATGTAACATTACGATCTAACGTTAATTAGCAAGCTTTAGACTGAGGGCCAGGCTAACTTTATTTATGCTAAGCTAACATAACGACTGCTGGCTGTAGTTTCTAATTTAGATATTAATCTCATCAAACTTTTGGCAAGAAAGTAAATAAGTTTATTTCCCAAAATGTCAAACTTTTCCAAGCTTGAAGGGTTAAATTCAACATAAAATATCGGTTTAAGACGGAAGTCTTTGAAAAAAGGGATCTCCAGAGAGAGAAAGAGAAGGAAAGAGACTTTCCATGTCCTTTAATGACACATCTGACCAAAAATAACTGAAAACACCTTCAAACCCAGCAGCTCACAGAGAGGACAGAGGCCTGAGGCAATATGGCACTGTCAGCACAGTGGGACATACATACAGTAATGAGGTTGGCTCCCAAATGGCACCCTACCATTCTTCAAACAGTGCCTACATTAGGCTCCTTTCAAGCCGTCACCTACATAATGTAGTGCTCTTCGTGGCTTTGTTGGCCTGTTTTCTTCATAATGTATAAACTGTGAACTCTGCTGTACCTGGAGAACCTCTTATCACTGATTTATCAAATCCAACAGTGGAGGACCAAAAAGCTGCTCAGTGCTGTGTTGAAAGGATAAAGGAAACAGGTGCTCTCTGGATCGGTTCTACTGAATAAAGCTAGAAAAAATATGAATCTGATATCTTCTAGAGGCTTTCGCATGAATAAAATATGATCTGTTCACTGCCTTGAGTGCATTTCATTCTGTATATTGACAACTTTCATCCTCTTAAACTGTTTATTACATTCACTCTTTTCTCAGCTACTAACACTGATCAGATTTTTTGGCACTAATTAGTTTCCCCATAATATCCCACATCATTACACTGATGTTACACACAGACACAGTTCAGAGGGACATTAAACACACAACTGCAAGACACAGCCATTATCTCCCTACCTCACGTGGTAAAGTCACAACATTTAACTCACTTTCCAGCCGTTAGAGGGTGTAAGAAAAGACAGAAATCTGCTTTTTCTCGTCTTCTTTTGGCATTAATGTAATTAAACAGAACGGGGAGCTGCAGCTGTTAATGCAGAGAATCGTAATAACTCCATAAAGGTTTGACATTATTCATTACTCATTAGTTACCTTTCAGATATTCTATCTAAGGCTGATAATGTTCTTGAAAAGTAAAATACTGAAGCTTTCCCAGATTAGACAACCGAGCTCAAAATGGACTGTAAAGATTTCAATAGTTACATTTTTGATTACGGAAGACAATTAAGATTAAGTCTATGTGACACATCAACTGGATTTTTAACACGTTTAGGTTTTCACAGTATCTTGTAAGTTGTATGACGCGTGTATGTAATTAATGAAAAACTAATTCCTTTTAAGGCACGGTAAAACAAAAAATACATTTTCCAAGTTCCAATTCTGTCTCGCAGTCACTTCTTATAAGCTAAATACATGTCAAGAGATCATTAACAGCGTTATTATATCAAATTCCCCCTCCTTTCTCGTCCTGTATAACATTAGAGTTGTTACCCTATACACACATTTATCCAATCAAATTGGATTGGGGTTTAGGTAAAACCACACTTGACCATTAGCATGTGGGTCGGGGACGCTAGCAGAGCAATTACGGTGGGTCAGGTTGGCATTTTCAATTATTTAAATCCCTCTTACACATATATATTCACATATTCCCTTGTACATCACAGGAGCTAAAAACGTGCTAACTTCTGTTTTAATGTGAATTAAGTTGGGCTTCCTCTTAAGTTGTAGTTTTTAACGGCGTGGTCAGAGGATTTCAATAACATTACACGAATCAAATTCCCATGGATGGATCTCACTGAAGATTATTACAAGGAAACAGCTGAAATAACTGGTCCAGAAAACTCTGCACTGACATCACATCGCTATTCTGGACATCAACAGTTACATATGTGACCTATGACACAAGGTTTCCCTCGCTCTCTGCAGCAAAACATCACTTGACTTTATACTGTACAAATGCCAGCCGCTCTGTTCGCACACACATGCAGACAATAATTTCACTGTGAGACACTCAAAGGGCTTCTGTTGGCCCAGCTGAGCTCCCGTTCTTTACCTCCAGGGAAAAGTTCATCACAGCAGTCGAGACGTTTGAAGGTCACTAGACCACCAGGCTGGAGAACGAGAGAGTGGAGAAATCTGCTACGTTTTTACTGTTTAACATCATTTCCTCCACTACTAAATCCCATTTTTTTTAAATTTCTTATTCCCCTTTCTTTAACCAATGAAATCTCAGAGTATAAACATGAACCTTTAAAGAGTTCTTTACAGATGTCTTCTCGTCCTCTGCAGCTGGACTGGAATCCATCAGTCTGTGCTGCTTCTCCTGACCAGAATCTTGTGTGTAAAAGGCTGCATGTGTGTGTAGATGTACTGTATGCGTGTTTGTGTGTGTTTTGTTGTGTGTGGACATTCAATACCCAGTAGCGTTGGCGAGTGGGTGTATGCTGAGTGTGGACGGAGTGCAGTGTATGTCGGCTGTGAAGCTGTAAGCTGCGTAAGCCACAACTGAGCCCACCATCAAGCCTGTCATGTAGGAGACAGTCATGGTGTTGCCTGCAGAGAGACACGGAGAGCAGAGAATGACTGTGGAGCTGATACAGACAGAGAATAAAGAAAAGAACCAGAGTTTTAAACAAAAAATCAGAAAGTGGCGAAAGTAACGAGGAAGCAGCCACAGCTCTGTGAGGCTGCACAGCTGTTAAATGCTATTTAAAATGTTATATACGTACAGTGACAATGCTAACATGTTGTACCTGATTGAATGTTTACCACATTGATCTTAGTTGCATGCTAAGATTTGCTAATGAGCAACAAAGTTTCAATGAGTTTTTTCAACACATACTGATCTGTGATCTGGGTTGGTGGTTGTTCATTTTAAACTCTATTTGACTGGCTGGGAAATATGCTAATTTGCTTTCTTTTTGTGAATTAGATGAAAGGAAACAATAACGCTCTTGTTTAGCTTAGCATAAAGAGGCAGAACAGCTAGCCTGGCTCTGTCCAAAGGTAACAATATAGCTACCAGCACATATTGTTTGTTTAATCTGTACAAAAACTGAAGTATAAAAACTTTGCATGCACTTTGGTTTATGAATGGATTTAAATACCAAGATATATTGTGTTGATTAGTGAGTTTTAGAGGTGCTAGGCTTTTTATAACCACATGTTTTAGCACATAATCTGCTATTTCTTCTGTATCCCAGCACCAGCATGTGAAATTAAAACAGCAATAGGCTTTAAAATGAATTGTTCCAATCCATTTGGTAAACTGGAACCAGTGAAAACTACTTAATAAATGACTTGAATGGTTACTTTATTAATTTTCTGCCAATCAACAAATTCACTTAGGGTCTGATGTGTTTTTTTTAACCTGTTTCATGCTGAAATTAGACTTAAAGACAAAAAAGTAAATATCACTTCAATGTTTCCTTAAGCTACTACACCAACCTTTATAATCTTTCTCTACATACAATTTTTGCCTATTAAGGCAAATAACTCACCCGCCAGCTCCCTCTGTTCGGGCGGTACTTTGCCAGCAGCCTGGATCATCGGCACCGACCCGAAGTACCCGTTGGTGACTCCCATGAGGAGGGAGAAGAGACAGGGCCAGGCAGGGTGGGACAGGGTGGGGGCCCTGGCCGGGTAGACGCACATGACAAAGAGAGGGATGAAGACCACCCTCAGACAGGAGAAGAAGAGCAGACGGCCTCCAGACCAGTCGTACGGCAGCGCAGCCAGGATCTGAAGACAGAGAGAGGGTTAAATCCTCTTCTGCTTTGTCGCCAATTCTTTTAATTATTTTTACCTCTGAGCTACCTCAGTTTTTCTTTCTCATTTTCCATTTAATTTCTCTTCTTATCTTTTTTTCCCCCACATTTCAACAAAATGCTAAATTTGCCATGAGGAAAAAGTCAAAGCATAAATTCAGAACAACTTGCACATAACTAACTTTTTCCTTCAAAGTCAAAACTATGACTTCAGGATACCAGATAAAGTTTAATTTCTGAATATTCAGATAAAGCCTTTGAGCTAAGTGCAATTATCCAAAAATAAACCAGGCTTTTTTTCCATCCTTACTCTCAGGTTTAATAAATGGAGCAACTCCTTTAACAATTCCACAAGGTCAACTCCAGTGTTACATGTGTGTCTCTTCCCTGCCTCTGTACTGCTGGGAAGCCTACAATTAATTCCCAGAATCTCAGGAAGTGTGAAATGAAAGGTGGTCATTCATATATTTGGGATTGCCAAAAACTACTTGAAATTTGGCAGAAAAAGATTAGGTTAGAATATAAAACTAAATGTTGATATCCCATTTAAATAAGTATATTTTATACTTATATACACAAGTGAGTAATTTCCACTGGGGATTGAATTTTCAAAATCCTATTGTTGTCGGCTTTACTTTTACAATTTCAGGTTGATTTATTCACTAAATCGTCTGTCTGTCAATCTGCCAAAATCTAGCTAATCCAATCGAAATGTTAAAATGTTCATCTGAGTAATTACAGTGCACTCACAGCATTTAAGCTTTATAAGTAGTAGCGAGTGATTTACAGACCTTCTCTCAAGCAACAAATGTTCCCCTACCTCCCTGGTGGAGGTGGTTGGGCCTGTATGCAGTTTGTGAGGAAGACTGCAGACTACTTAGGGTTGAAAAATGTCTTTCAGGTAAAAAATACATTTAGCTGTTTTTCTATGCAGATAGTTCTCCTAAAAAGACGCTACAACTGATCATCAATCAAAGATAAATACAGCCCTCTTTGCAGTGAAGATAGAAATAGATTGAGTTAAATATCAACAGGTTTCATTAAAAAGCATCAGGTCTTTATCAAGGAAATGATAGGTAATTGTAGTATAATGCAGCAATTTATACTGTATATGGCTATTTTTAGTATACTAACATTATCATGATAAGCATGATTACCAATTTAATCATTATACATTTATATAAATGAAGAAAATAACATTATATTAGGTGTATAAACATCTGACTTCATTGTGCAATTCTAAAATCTGTCATTCTTTAGCCACTTGGGGGCAGCGGAAACAAGCTGTTGTTATATGCTCCCCCTTGTGTTTTCCCCGTCTACTTTCTCTGCTACTCTCTCTCAGGTGCTCCTCATTGAGAATGACTGGTTGGTGGCCATGCCCCCAGATAACCACACTTAGCAGGATTGTGGATTGTGCTTATCTTCCAATAAGAAAGACAAAGGTATAACTTATCCTGCCCTAACAGGTGCAACAAAGGAAGTGAAGTGTTGCATCTTTACATCTTTATTCTCCTTTACTTTCAAAAAACTTGCTCCTCACCTTGCCAACAAAGTCTGACATGTTGAATGTGGCCATGATGAGGATGGGAAGCCATTCGCCTAAGGTGGCGTTTCGTATCTCTGACTCCAGCCCGGGGAACAGACACAGAGTGATGCTGTAGGTGACTGCTATGGACAGCATGTAGGCCCAGATCACACGGGACACCACGTAACGATGCAAGATCATGTCTGGTTAGAAGAGACACACAGGGTGATGTTTAAAACCCCCAAACTCTCACAGGTTAATTCACCAAGAACACTCCCTTCCTCCCAATAATCACCAGGGGATGCATTTGAATTTCAGATCCATCTGTTAGAGTCAGAGGGTAATTGGGCAGTGAGTACACAGGATTTAAACAGAGAGTACCTCGGACGCCGGGCCAGCTCTTCCTTATCCTGGCTTTCGGGGCGTCAAATCGCACATACGTCCCACCCACATTGTCCTCAACACCTTCCTCTGCAGAGGACGGTCCGGTCCCACCATTTCCCTAAAGAGAGACACACACAGGGGAGACTTTTTGTCAGAAAAAGAGCCACATCATATAATCAAATGATCAATTATTGAATCACACGGGTAAATATCATAATTTTGTTCTTCATGTCCTTCAAGGCTTTTTGAAGGACATTAACAGTTCATTAAGAAAGCACTAGAGGTAGCCATCACACAGTAAATAACCACATTCTCTTGCACTGGTTTGAACTTTTAAGGTTTTTTTCATTAATAATTGCTTCCTGGCAGCATGACATCAGCTTTTTATGGCAGCGGCTATTAAAGAGGATGGCTGTGAGAGGTTGCAGGTTGACGTAATGATGTTGGAGAGACTGCAGAGTGGACCAGGAGCCATACACACACACACACACACACACACACACATACGCACACAAGCCTACAAACACACATTTCCTCTTCATCCAAACCTATAGACACACCCTTCAACTCATGCTTCTTTCCAAACACACACTTATATGCACATCACATAGGAACACAGGTGTGCACCATCAATTATGCGCACGCACACACACACACA